GAATACACAATGCATTCCAAATAGCCTGTTGCAAAATTAGTAATGTGTCCCACTAATATCATGATTATGGTACATTCTGCAGCTGAAAAAAGTGTATTTTACTTGCTTAACTAAAGAAATTAGATTCATAGGAGCTGAATTAAAATAATTATTTTATTTTATGAGCTAAAGCATTGTAAAAAGTAAAATAGATGTGTATCTGAGGCGAGAATCATAATTTCTATCATTGCTGCCTTAACACATAACTAGGAGTTGGAATAAATGACAAATAAATGTCTTTGGTGCATGGAGAAATTGCTAAATGTGAAACAAGAAATAAAAGTAGTGAATTTCTTAAACTCTAATTTCAGTCCATTGAAATGCAAACACCTGCAGGTAAATAATAGTTAGGTGTCATGTAGCTCGCACACAGAAGCATAATACTTGTAAACAGTTTTCAATAGATTGTTTTTTTGTCTCAAAATCTTTTAGGGGTCATACAGGTTGTTAGAAATAAAAAAAAAATAATTAAATTCAAAGCATGCTCTATGCCAGTGAAAATACAAGGTTTCTGCAGCTAAATCATTTTGAAAAAATTTGCCGAATATGACGGAGAAGTATTAAATAAATCTAGCTTTAATTTTCTCTTTTTTTCTTCTGTGTCTCTAGGCTTTTTAAAGTCTGCTTTTTCAATCGCTGTAACAGAAGATTATTCATCATACAAATATTGAAAACCTTGTCAAGTGGGAGAATATTTTCTCAGGTTGGAAAATTATGCACATCTTTCAGTAAATACAAGCAATACACTGAGCCACATATTTTCTTAACAGACTAGATTCTCATAAACCTTTATATCAGCAAATTTAGATGCATTGTATATTCATGGCATGTTCCAGTTATCTACTAATTATTCATTCAGGTGATTGGTCAGCAAGAACAACTTGGTAAATAATTATGCTTTGTGAAGTTTCAGAATAAATTAAACTGAAACACAAAGAAATAAGCAACACAGCAATTGTTCTGCAATAGCAAAGGTCAGAGGGATTAGCTGATTTCTCAAAATATTTCACAAGACCTACTGCGGTACTAATTGCAGTTTTGAGAAAAAGGAATATCTTTGTACTTTGATTCAGTTCAACAATATGCTATTGATTTCATTGCAAAATAAAGGTAAATAAGAAAAATTTAATGAAACATGTTCTTCAAAAATTTAAGAACAGACAGTTTTATGTTCAATCTTGCCTCAACTTGAGCACAAATGCAGAAAAAGCTAACATTACCAATTTGAAAAATAAAAATGTGATGATCAAGATGGAAAATAACTCAAATTTATCATCGGACACAGATAAGATTGTAACAGTAAGTCTTCCAAGCCCTACTACTACTGTGGGTGAAGTACTGCATCTTGAACTTTTGAATTCTTAATTTAAAAAAAAAAAAAAAAAAAAAAAAAAAAAACATTAGTACATGGTGTTACCCAGTGTGTGAGTAATTGAGTTCAGGGGAGGATTGGTTTACAAAACTACCAAGGATTTCCCAAGAGGGTTATTGATTTTAACCCATGGAGAAGCTGTTGGACTGCAGTCACTCAGCAAACTCTGGGCTTCTCTAGCTCTCCTTCTGTCCAGTCAGGCAGATCTCAGCGCATTTAAGAACGATCACTGATAACTGGTTATTATTTGCCAAGATGTATGTGTGAACAAACCAAGTTCAATTGATTAAACTCCTACCATAAGATTCCAGCAACAGTAACACAAAACCCAAACTGATTTCTTTGTACTAATCTTTAAATATGAACCAAACTGATTTTTTTTTAAATTTTTTAATTCAAGTCTCTTGATTTTGTTAAAACAAATTTAATAAGATTTTTATTTGCAGTAAACAAATGCCATAATACTAGAGCCACAGTCTGGCTCTACAATTACGACATTCTAGACCATCTCATAAATTCAATCATTTATGTGGGGCGCTGAGTAGCTGCTTGGTTCGTTTATGCCTTTGACTGCCTTGTCATCATGTTATTCCTCCGAGGAACATTACCTGACAGTCACTGAAGCTGCAAGAAACATTAAATGAGTCCACAGTGGCAGTGTAAGACATAAATCGGGGGCTTGAAAGTCTCATGGTCTCATGGTCTTCTTTTCCACCTGAGCACCTGCCCCCCAAAATGTCTCTGCAAACCACTGATGATAAACACTTCCTGTTTGGTATTGATCTATGACCAGCATAATGCAAAAATAATGCGACTTTTTACTAAATGTTATCAGTTTTCTGTCAATCTAACTTAGATTACTAGGTGTTATTTATTTTTTAATATACTTTTAAGCACTTTCTTTTGTAGTATTATTAGTGCATCCAGTAGGTGGTAGTCTTTCCCTCAACACCCTTTAACATCAGCAGTCTTCTATGTATGACAATAATCTAGCATTTTCAATGTTTTTTAATGAACATCTCAAAATCTTGTTTTCTAATGAAACCAACCTAAGCTTCTGTGCCATTATTTCTTGTGGATTGTTTGGCTCAAAAGCAGACCTGAGGAGCGTTAAACATAGACCTACAGTGAAAGATGTTGGTAGCAGCATAATGCTTTGGGGTTACCTAACTCAATTTTTTCTATACAGATGAAATAATGAACCAGTTGTTGACCCAAAACTTTTAAGGCTTTACAACAAAGGCAAAGGAGTTAGGCAACATTAAAAAGCCAGGATGTGGCAATCTGATGAACTCCTAGTAAAAACAAAAAACAAATATGGCTTTAAAAATATAGAAATTTGAACATCCATCATTTGTCGTTTCAGGGTTAATACAAAAAGAAAGTCAAGTGTGCTGCTAAAGTGTGTTTTAATTGCATATTTTTTGCAAAAGCCTAGACATTTAACTTTTTACATAGCATTACAACAATTAACATACAGAAATAATTTAGTCTGCAACGCAAAATGGGCCTTGATAATTTGACAAAACACAACAGTTGTGCCAGATTTGATTGACAGTTCCTATTAAAGTGAGAGGCACCGGGGAATCCCAGATGTGGTAGCACTTTACTCTAGCGATTGCTCGCTCTACAATGATCCGCAGCTGAGCAATGGTCTGTCTCTTCCTTGATGAACTGACCAGGACGCCTAAATGGTGGAATGATGAGTTTGGCTCCAACTTCATGAAGGAGGTCTTGAATGAGGAAGCCTTCATCTGCCATGACTTCATCTCCCAGCTCAAGCAGAGGAAAGATTCCACTGACCTTTGTTATTTCTTTGTCGGAGATGCAGCCTGTGTACAACGCTGAAATAAATGTTATCAACCCACAGGGAGCAACTCCAATCAGCCCTTTCAGTGGTGTGGTTCTTGTAGGCAGAGAACGTTTCAGACTGCAAGGTGAGGGATGATGGCATTTCCAGAGCAACTTCTGTTGCATCTAATCTAACAATGAAGAGGTAGTTGGCCCAGGTGATGGTCACTCGGCTGACAGTAGCTATGCTGACTTGAAACATGTCAGCAATGAGCTGCTCCTTCATGCCCACTGCTAGCCTGAATGAGTACATCAGGAACTCATCAATCAGAGGCATGCAGCGGGCAGGGCTGGCTTCACATGCTTCCTCTCCAAGTTTCTGTGCTCTGGTCCAGTACACCAGGCGTGATGCAGAGGGTGCAATGGACTCACAGAAGATCCGGAACACACATTCAGATGGAAATTTGGTGTAGAACCGCATCTAGTCATCAGAGGCACAGTAGCGGCTAAAAGTGTGGCAGACAAATCCACTTTTTGAAGTCTGGCCTCCAACTTCGTAATATAATCCAGAGCTTCATCAAGTGCACCTGTAAAACCACAAAATAAAATAGCAAAACATACGGTTAGCAATAAGTTTTAATTATATATTTGAAACATTACTTCTGTGAAGATCAATACATGTGAGTCGGTGCATGTATGTATATAGCCATTGACTTAATCTCTCCACAAAATACATAACCACATAATCTCATAATTTCATTATTATGTGATCATAATAATATTATTATTATAGTAACAGTTATATTTTACTGAAATTATCTTACATATATACAATATACTATCTTTTACCTGCGGGTGGATGTGCCGTGTAGTAGCATCTTCAGCCTGGCTAGCTTTCTGAGAGAGTACAAACTGCCGTTTTTTGGCCCTATCGAAAGCAGACTCTCTCATTGCCGGTGCAGTGAAGTTATTCCAGGCAAACAGGGAAGGAACAGCTCCACTTCTAAGGCGGCTGGTGGTGGATCCGCTAACAAAATCATCCGGTGTGAAGTGGCGGCTACATACGAAAGTGCTCCCCGTCTTTATGCAAAAGTCCGGACCTTCATCTCTTCGGATCGCCTGGATCCACTGCCTCCGTTGGTCCGGGTCCGTGGGGAACGCATGATATGACAGATAAAGCTGTTTTCTTGCCCCACATGAACAACCAGGGACTGAACGAAAACAACTGCGCTGAGACTGAGCCATTTTCCAAACCTTTTAATGCTAACGCTATAGCCACCGGAAGTTGTCCAACCCCACATCCGTTTTATAAAACCCGAAAAAGTGAACCCCGCGCATGCGCACAACCACCCCGGCCCCGCGCATGCGCACAACTGTCCCGCCCCCGCGCATGCGCACAACGGCCCCACCCCCGCGCACAACCACCCCGCCCCCGCGCATGCGCACAACTGCCGGGCCTTGCGCATGCGCACAAACACGCTTTCCCCGCGCATGCGCACAACCTCCCGGGTCTCGCGCATGCGCACAACCGCCCTTTTCCGCGCATGCGCACAACCGCCCCGGCTTTGCCTTCCGGTGGATGTGCTGTGTAGTCAAGGTCCGCAATAGCATCTTCAGCCTTGCTAGCTTTCTGAGAGAGTACAAACTGCCGTTTCTTGGCCCTATCGAAAGCAGACTCTCTCATTGCCGGTGCAGTAAAGTTATTCCAGGCAAACAGGGAAGGAACAGCTCCACTTCTAAGGCGGCTGGTGGTGGATCCGCTGACAAAATCCTCCGGTGTGAAGTGGCGGCTACATACGGAAGTGCTCCCCGTCTTTATGCAAAAGTCCGGACCTTCATCTCTTCGGATCGCCTGGATCCACTGCCTCCGTTGGTCCGGGTCCGTGGGGAACGCATGATTTGACAGATAAGGCTGGGAAGTGAACGAAAACAACTGCGCCGAGACTGAGCCATTTTCCTAGCCTTTTAATGCTGACGCTATAGCCGCCGGAAGTTGTCCAACACCACATCCTCTTTCAAACCCGAAAGAGTGAAAAAGGTCTATTACTTACGCAACCTTACCACTTCTTATCAACAGCGAATTTTCCAGGACTCCTGTTTGTTGTTTTCTGGAAGAAGCTAACTAGCCAATTGTGTGTGGTTGCTAGGTAAAAATAACAAACATTTGGCCAATCAGCATCGCTAAAATCAATGTCTCTAGTGTGCCCTGTCATTGTAGACGCCCGGTAAGTTCTGTGTTCCTATGGTAATAAAGTTGAAAATGGCGGTAATGGCAGCAGAGGGAATCTTAAGTCCCCACCTTGATGACACTGCGGAGGATTTTACAGATGGTCGGTAAGCTACAGCTTCTGTTGCTCAGTGTGTGTGCTTTATTAGTTTTAGTAACCATATTGCTCTTTTTTACTTTTCTGATAATCGGCTGCACAACATTGCTGTGTTTTTTTATGCTTATGTTGCTCAATTAGCATAAAGCTAATGCTACTCTGGATTACTGGTAACGTTAATTTTGCTTTGAGTTTATGTTTATAAAGCTAGTATTGACATGATGTGTGATGGGTCAGATGGCCATTCTGATGTGATGCTGTACAGGGAGGCGCCTGCTTGATGACTCACTTATTTGAACATATCTCTTATATTTTGTTGAGTGCCTTATTTTCAGATAAATCCAGGTTTTGTTTGGTGTTGTGGTTTGCAGCAGAACCTTAAGGTTTGGAGTATTTGTTTGGCATATACTCTGGTAAGAAAGTAGGGATCTGAGAGGAAAAAATTAGGATGTGTTTTGTGTTATTTTGGTTTTGCATAAAAACTCAAATTACAGATACAATAGAGCAGCAAATGACTTATTTGTCTTTGCAGCAGTTTTTCTTTCTTTTCTGAAAGGATACAGTCAACATAATGTCTGATGTCAGTCAGTGCAGTTATTTTAGCATAAGTTAACAATGACTGTATTTAAGTAGTTTTGCAACCTAATTGGACCAAATTATGATGCAGTTTCTGAAGAAAACACTGGCAATTCTGATGATGAATAGAACATCGTTTGGAAATGGTGTTTTATGACTAAAGTCTAGCTGGTCAAAAACCTCCAGAGTCTAAATAGAAAATTCAATATAATATGTATAAATCTAATCCAAAATGTAATTATTCATGTGCCTGACTAAAAAGATCAATAATACAGAACTAATTTTGGAAAATTAGATTTTTGTGCAAATGCATGAACAGCTTCTTATATTTAGCTCTGCATGGTTAAAGAAGCAGGGCTCATTTCTTTTATGTAAATCATTCTCTTGATTTATTCCATCATTTTTCTTTTTTGCTTTTCATCAGCAAAAAGCACACCAGTTCAGTTCTATCCATCTGGTAAAATATCCTCATCTCTGGACAGCACTGAACACAGAACTGGCCGTGATGTGAGGCTGATGAAAAGCGGCGTTGTGGCCCACCCGCAGCCCCCTGTGCTCTCCCTGAGTCTCTTACATCTCGCTGAGCCCAGAAAGTTAACAGGCCCTGGCAGTCATCTGAATAAGAGGGAGGTGCAGCCCAGATTTCCCAGTTAGGCTCTCGCTGTGATGGAGCTGTAAACACTGGGGCATAATTGGGTGACCGGCCGATGAGCAGTTTGATTTTTATCAGACGTTTATTGATGCTGAGAGTGCCGTGAGTTGGAATGGGAAAGCATGAGGGCCTCTCGTAAATCACAGAAACAAGGGAGACATGAAGATTTGCCCATTGACAACTTCAGTGAGGCTGAAAGTGAGGTTAGGATTGGCATGATGGTTAAATTTATGCTATGTTTATGCTTTAAGAGGGATCTGTTTTCTTATTGTTATTATGGTTTTATTCCAAATGAAACACTGGTAATTAAAGTTGTCAGCATATTTGAATAAGTAAGATCGAAGAGCATGTAGAGCTCCTGTTGGCCCCATGTGGTTTTTATGGTTACCTTTAATTAAAATTCCTGACAAACACTCATAGTAATTTCTATGAAACACTTATATTTTGTAAGTGTTTTTGCGAGTTTTTTACTTTCTGCTGCTAGATTTAGACGAACTAAAAGGCTAAAGCTATCTCTAAAAGTCTCACACTATGGTCTCACTTGAATAAGCTGACCTATAAGTCTAAACGTGAGCTTTTGACTACGTGCTTAGATGTAGAGCTTGACTACATAAGAAAAGAATGAAAGAAATACATCTGTCCATGCATCATTTTTAGACGATTTAAGAAAGTGATGCTTTTTTCTTCATGATTTACTTTTTCAACCTCTCATACCATCTTCCTCACGCTTAACAATGCTCCACCAAGATATACATTAGATGAGAATAAATACATACATTTTGCATGAGAGCTGGATAAGTCATTGTAGTAGAAAGCTGCTGGAAGGGAGTTAATATAATAAGGACATATTTATTTAAATATTGTAAGGCATTGCATTCTTTATGTCAAGATAGTTTTCATCCAGTGGCAGTATTGTTACAAAGTATTCATCCCTCTTCAACCTTTTCCCATTTTGTCACAGTACATCCACAAACCTCAGCAAATTTTGTTGGGATTTTACATGACAGATGAGTCTTTTGTCTGAAATGTTGCTATTGCAAGAAAGTTGCTGAGTTGTCAACTGTGCGGTGACCATTGTCTACTCCAAACATGCAAACATAACTTTGTGAACCAGTGTATCAGTCAAACCTTTTTGACAGGAGGACAGAAGACGACAGTGGTTAGTGTTCAGACCTTTGCTGAGGTAAGATCGGCTTCACATGTAAGTATCGGTTGGTCAGGGTTAAGATCTTTTGAGTAGAGCATCTGACCACATCCGTGTTTGTCATATCTGCTACAGGGCATGTAGCAACCTGCTAGAGAAGACGTCTTATAAGTTTGTTTCAAAAATGGCATCATCTTTCCTCCGCTAAATAAAATAAGATTTGTGGAGTGTATGGCAAAAAGTTATTACAGCATTTTTTTTTTTCACCTGAGCTGTCAATCGCTGAAGTTTTTCGGGAATCACCACAGACCTGTTTGCTGATTTTCTTATTAATGCTCTTTTTGCCTAGCCTGCCAGCAGCTTAGGTAGTAGGCCATATGTAGCTTTGCAATTGTGGCTAACTCTTCTAATTTTTAGACTTTAGATTGGACAATAATCTTTTGAATGTTGTTTGGGATTTTGCTTTATAGCTTAACCCTTGTTTCTGACCTCTGTGGTGTGGTCCTTGGTCTGCATACTTCTGTTTTTTAACAAACTTTTGAAGTTTTCATAGTAGATGTTATCAAAATACTTAAAGAAATCACACAAGTGATATCTACTTTCAACATCATATTCTCAATATTAGTGAGCCTGGTGATTTAAGTCTCATATTGTAAGTTAAGTTGTTTACTTACAATATGAGATTTGTACGCTTAAGTTGTTTAACAAGAAAAGCTGATATGGCTTTTTGAGCTCCATGAACTTTAAAGATGATGGAGCTGCCTCTATTATATCTAGAAGCAGCTGGTTGCACTGAGTTGTACTTTGGATGCCAGAATGCCTGAATATACATGTGCATACCACATTTTGTATAAGTCTGTAACAATAAAGGTTTTGGTTGTCATTACAAAACGTAATGTAATGATAGCATTTAGGCTCAGGGGTATATTGAAAGGCACTAGATTAATCCGTTCTTTAAAAGAGGACAAGTTCAAGTTGATTTTCTGAACTAGAAGGCTGCACTTTTCTCTGCATTTAAAGTATTTTGTGCAATTTGCTTGTTAAATACAGTGTTGAAACAAAAAACTGTGTGAACAGTTGTAAAACTAATTATTTTATGTAGAGAGAACTTTGACCAGGCAGTGTATCTTCACAAAAACTTTGCATTTACTTTCATTATTTTTTTTAACCAATTTCTATAACCTAAACATGACCCTACCCCTACAGCTAACCATTATCAGTACATAGTTAACCCTACATCTAATCTAACTCCTGACCTCAAAAACAACACTTCCTTTATATTAAGCTCTGGCTTTTGGAACCCAAAAGGTACAGGTCCTCACAACTTTGAAAAAAAAAGGACTGTACAAGACAAAAAATGTTAAACACAAACCCACTCAAAAGAAACAAAACAGGGAAGTGCATTCATGACATAGTTTATTGTTGTGTGACCACATAAGGTCATTTTGTGGTTTCTGTTTTTTTTTTTTTTTCAGACCGGCTATCTGCCTTCTCAGAAACATGAGCCAGAGTCTGTTTTCAAGTGATGAAGGAAGAACAGTAATACAGGGCAAACATGTTGCCTTTCTGAATGCACACAGAATAGCTTGTCTGCTGCATTTTGGTTAGTCTTTTTTTCCATAAGTCTGAATATCCTTGGAAACCCCAAACATCAACATCTTAACAGTGTGACTCTACAATCCCACAAGACATTATTTTCCTGCTTCCCTGTCTGGAAATGGCAGACAAGCAATGAGGAACTTGAAAGGTCTTTGTTGATTGATGGTCAGCCTTTGCTGAAGAAAAATACTTTCCACTCCTCAAGTGGATTGCATCTCTCTGTTTATTTATGTAGTTGAGTTGCCAGAGTATAGGATCAAGTCTAAGAAAGCTGCATTTGTCATATGAGAACTATGTTGAGATTCTTATGTAATAAAATGCTTAAATAGCAGTCTGACGTCATGTGCAACAAGGAGCCCCTTATGAAAACCTTTAGTTTACATACCAGCTAATAGCTGGATCATGCAGCACAAGAACCAATTCCTTATAAAGCAAAAACATGCGTTTTCTCGTTGTGTTACCTGGATTCAAACGTTTTGCATGGCTGAGTCACTCTTCAGGTCTGTCCCTGAGGAGACTTTATTGGCAGAGCTATTCCTGGACACTTGTCAGATCCCACCACAACCTCATTTTAGTCACTTTTCATTAGCGCTCACATACAAGAACTCACAGAAGCACACACTGCTGGATCCTTTCTGGCTCAAGTTAGTGTGTCAGAGCCAGACGGTCGCTGTGATCGGTACTGCTCTCTTACATGGCCCAGTAATTCCTTAAGCCTTTAGTTAATGCTCCTGGTAATGTCACATCTACTTTTTGCCGTTGCTATCATGCTTGTCTGACCAGTGATCCAACATAAGCTCAGTGGTCTTTCCTGTAATTTGTTCAGCCATAGACTTGTGTTGGATAAAAGGATGTATTATTTGAGCCTTTCCCTCCTAGGTGAAACCCACTGTGGAAAACCAGATGGCAGCTACACCCATTATAGTGCCAGGTCAAAGCAGTATGAAGTGAGAGTAACGTTTCACGGAGGAAATGGGACATATACAAGAGGTCAGTGCAGTAAAAATTGAAAACGCAGTGTTCCTGAAAGTAAGAAAATGTATGGAGGGCTTATTTTATAGGTGTAATACTGTTTCTATCAAATAAGTGGCAAAATATTGTAAAATATATCCCCCTGTGATACATTTATCCAGTAACTCATTCTTACTGCCGAAAGCAACCGAGTAGCATCTAACATCCAGAACTTTCAGAATCAAATATTCAAATATCTTTACTAGATTAAATCGCTGTCCATGCATACAGGATGATTTTAACACACGAGTTTCCGAAGCTGCAAATGGGATGTACACGTATAAATCATTTTCATTTAAAGTACCCTAAAGATGAATTTCCATCAGGGGAAATGTTGCTTTGCCGAGACCATTAATCAACCTTTTCTCTATATGACTGGACACACTCAAGCCTTAACAGCTGTTGGGCTGAGCCTTTTTCACTGACTGGCAGTGAATACACTGCCAGTCAGTCAGCACCCTCTGGGCTCATACTGCGCATTACAGTGTGTTTGTGTGTGAATGGCTGAGAGTCAGACACACCTGCAAGATGTGGTGAGACTTGCCTCATCAAATCTCTTAAAGCCATGCCCTGCAGACACAGAGGAGCACACTGAAAGTTCAGTCAGTTAGTTGATCAGGAAGTAGGCTATGTGTTGTTTTTTTTGTTTTTTCTTTTTTGTTTATCAGAAGTGCTACAGACAGTACATTATCGCACGGTCGCAGCTGTGCTGTGATCATGCTTCACACTTTATTTGAAGTAAACAAAGAAACTATTTGTTAAAGAAACTGTAAATAGTTAAACTGTGTAGCCTGAAGATACTTCTTGCAAAACTATTCAAACTTCTGCAACTTTTTTTCACATTTTGTTGCATTGCAGCTGTAAACTTTAATTTATGTAACTGGAATTGAATGTGAAACAATTTAATTCCAACAACTATGCAAAGTGGAGCATTTTGGTAAAGGGTAAAGCTTTTTCATGTCTTTTATTTTTATTTTGTTTTAGATCAAATCCCAAAAGTATAGGGCACATTTTTTATTTCTCACCCATACATTAATACTCTGTAGAACTATTTTTCTCATTTAACATAGTGTGTTCAGTGTCTTTTCCAGCTTTGCACATAAGGATTCCAAAAGACAGAAAATTATTTATTTTTATTTTTTTACAAATTAGCATAGCATCAGTCAGACAGGATGCAGCCCACAGGATTCTCAAATATATGTAGAAGCTTCTTCCACATGTCCGCTGTACTCTACTACATGGCTTGTCTTACAAGTAAATAGAAGTGAAGGTTTGTGCTTTCTAATTCAAACAGAAATATAGAAACATTCAAACAGCATAAACACTTTTACACCATACAGGCTGACACAATGCCGTTTTTAAGTTCACTCAGGCTCACGTTGTACATTATGTGAGCAGATTTACAGTTCATAAGTCAGTACACTGAAGCTCAAAGGCTTTTCCTTGGAGGAGAGATGAACCCCTCCGTGTCCCTTTCTTACTTGAATACAAAATCCTATTTTGCTTGACTGAGCTAAGAGAGAGCTTTGACCATAGTGCCACAGGCAGAAAGTCAAGGTTTGTGAGTATACACACTTCACGTAACATGTCTGGCTTTCATCCGACTCTTTCACCTGCTGTTGTTCTTAGTAGCATGACAATTTTCATTTCCCTTTTTTATTCCCGATTTGGGAATTAGAAATGGGTGGACTCTTGTTTTGTTATTATGCAACATGTCTCCACCTTTCCTGCAACATATCCTGCTGTTGCCAGGTCTTCATGTCAGGTAATGTAATGCAGAAGGGGAAGTTTATTTCTATCTACTTCCATAGATAACTTTTGTGCTTGAAAATATAAGACTCTTCATGAATTTGCTTCAACTTTCTGCCTTTCTGGCTGATGTCACTCGGTGCTTGTTGTGTGGGGAAAGTATGGCAACCGCAAGAATCCAGCACCGTGCAGGAAACATAACCATAGACAGAGGGCCCATTCTTACACAAAGTGGGCTGGGACCAAAACACACACACTCACAGAAAGAGAGGAGGAGGAGGAGTACGGAAAACACGGGGTAAGAAGAGAGCGAAACAGGAACAGAAAGTGAAGACTTGTCAAGATGTTTGGGTAAGGGGATCCAGAACTGATCAGAACACAGCAGAAGCCAGATGCCACACTGAAAGGAACAAAAGTCTGAGCAGCTGACTGGATTAGACAGGAGGGGTGACCTGACCTGCTGCCACACAAGTGCCTGCGGGGTAAGGTGCTGCTTTCAAGCACTTCTTGAATGCTTGTAGCTTCTCTAAAACAGTTCGACATGATGTATTTGAGTTTGTGAGATGACTTTACGGAAAGCTGTTGTTTCTAACTCCAGACTCTGTTAACAAAAGCTGTTGTTTTGACTGTGGTTAGACACAGCAGGATGTCTGACAGGTTGCAACAATGTGCTGATGAGTTTTTTCCTCCCTTTGAATTCTCCAGTATGTCAGTAACAGAGCCTTTTTGGGCTTTTTAAACAAAGGCTCCCAATAAAATGAAGCTTGAACTGAAATATTTAACTTCCGATGCTTCAGTATATATTTAGCTATTTACGAAGAATGAGAGCTTCCTTTACTTCTCATTTCTCAAATGTCCTCAGTCTCACTCATTTCACTCAGCTAGGATCAAGTTGTCTCAAACCGGAAGTGTAATGGCTCTGCGTAATATTACTTCAGAATACCTGAGAAAAATAATTGTTTTTTTTGTTTTTAGTTGACTCATGTCCTCTGGTAGGAAATACTTTATTTTGTAGTTTACTTGAAATCAAATATTTACATATGTAGACCTTATAAAAATATCAAACTAAAATCTTTATGTTAAACTACTAAAATTACATCTAGTTGCTGAATGCCAGATAATTTATTTATTTATTTTTACTTTCCACAAATTTGAAAATCCTTTAGTATTTGGTAGAACTGTTATGAAATAGTTTGCACTAATTTTGACTCAACTCCTCCTCACAGAACTGGTGTGAGTCAGGTTTGTAGACTGTCTTGCTTGTACAAACCTTTTCAGCTTTAACTACAATAAGTGAAACTGGGCTTGGGGCTTTGTGATTGACTTGGTTGAAGAAGAATTTTATCTGACATCTTGAAATGTTGCTTTAGTATTTTCAGGTGTTGTTCTTTTCTTTTGAAAGATGAGCTTCTACTTTGTGAAGCTCACATGTCCCTCCTGGGAAACACCCCTTTAGGGTGATCTTGCCGCCCTAATTCTTTCTCCATTAGATGGGTGTCCTTAATGTCTTTTGGAGACATTACTCCAAAATATTATGTTGCTTTTGAAGTCTTCTTCCTCTCTGAGTTTCCTTTAATTCTTTTATTAAGACAGGACTTAATAATGGCACTATGTAACAAGGTTCAGAACCTCATAAAAATCATTACATCATCTTATTGGCTTTTCTAATTTGTTTAAGAATATAGTAGTTTCAGTATGTGTAACGTGGAAAATTTGAAGAAAGAAATAAATTATTATTACATTGGTAATATATAGAATTATGGTAGTACTTTGTGACAGCAAACAGGCTAGGTTTTATTGGTTATAATGTCAACAGTGAGGACAATTTCTCAATTAAAGAGCAAAATGCCCAAGCTCTCCGTACTTATCATTGGTGAATAAAGAGGGATCTGCTCTGACTGTGCGCTCAAGGGCAAATCATTAAAGATTCCTACAATGCCTTCTGTCACTGCTTTGCCTTTTAGGTCACATATGCTCCTTAAAAAGCAGCAGAGGGCCATGTCAATGCAATCAAAACATTTTTCTCAGCCCCTTCCTGGCTTTGTGTGTCTCAGAAATGGTCTTTTCCTGTGTATCAGTTGCTCAAGGAGAGCACGGTGTCATGAGAAAGTGAAGAGGCCACTTAAAGCCAAGAAAGGCATCTCAGCAAGATAACTGAAAGACGTGGTGTGATATGCTTAAAGGCCAGAGTTGATTTTCAAGTCTGAATATTTTTGCTTAAATTTGTGCTTCCATAACGTCACAAAATGAACCTCAGATAAGACTGTCGTTCTCACTGCTAGTGGCCTTGGTTATCCAAGTCCAAGCATGTAACAGTGTAAGCAGTTTAAAAAAAGCCTAACTGCGAATAGAGCATAACAGTTATCTTTTCACAGAAACAAAACTATCTGTTTTCTTTTAATCTTTGATTGTCCCTCCTGACGGTGTTAGTGCAGTGACCTTTTTTTTTTTTTCCGGGTAAACAACTGATGACTGATATGCATTCCGTTCTCTGTTTTTACCCAATGATTCATTATTTGCTGTCTTTGTTATGTGACCAGACTAAACCAACACCTCCCCTAATTTGTGGCTTTGTCTCTCCCACAAACACAAGGCTCTGAAACTTTGACTTGTCATGTTTTGAATGAGAGTAAGATTCAAAGCACACGAATGTGCTGCAGTTCTACAAGATCCATCACAACATGTACCAGCAGCCAATTATCTTAAAAGATGAAGCAAAGGCAAAAGCAGCGCCCACGTGTAGGGATTTTATACGCCAAAAATTAGCGCAAGTTATTTCCATTCACTGCTGTCATTAGTAAGTTGAGTTCTTAATACAAAAAATTCCAGAATTGCATACATGCAGAGCTTCCAGGTTCTTAATTAAAGGTCAATAGTGAAGTACTTTTAGTCCAGAAACCTGTGGAATCATAAGATGTTAACAGGAAGTGCTGATGTGGTTTTTCTGAAGTATTTCTCAGAAATGAGATCATTAGAACACAAATGGTGATCTGCATGTTAGGTCACACATGCTCCCTAAAACTTCATCTGTTAATTACTTTTAGTTGTGAAATTATTTATTTAATGATAGCAACAGAAGTTGGACTTGACTAGATAAACTGTTGGGAAAACAAAGAGAAATACAATTCTAAAAGACACTTTTGATCCAAACTTATGGATTCTTGAAACTGTAAGACGAGTTGATCACAAGGCTTTTTTTTTTTAAAGGTCAAACTAAGTTTTAATTCAAGGTGCAAGAATCTGGATGAAGTGTGACAGTCAGAATTCAGTTTTCTTGAGAGAAAATGCAAATTTACTACAGCTAATAATGGTATGGGAATCCAAGTCACATGTGTCCCTTAAAAGGGAACTTGCCCCTTTCAGTCTGTGCACTCATCTAGATACATAAACCAAATTTTGGCAAACATAAATGTGCACATAATCAGTAAAAACATGTGTTCAGTTGATTTGAAATAAGAGGTCGCTCCAAAATAACTGCAACCAATCTATTGTTTTCCTTTTGAGTTCTCCTCTGGTTTATTTAGACACTTTAAGCGAGTGACTTCCTGTTGAGTACATGAACTCGGGTTTGTGGGGGAAGGTTAGTGGCTCTCTGCGGATAAACTTATTTCACGAGGCGCAATGCACGGTGACACCAAAGCCAAATCTATTTGCTCTCCTCTTGCAGGTGCATCATCGTCTCTCTCCGTTTCGCTCGCTCTCTCTATCAGAAGCAAGTTAATGTGAGGTGAAAATCTTCTCCCCTTCCTGCAGCCAGAATGCAAATACTGTTGAAAGCGACAGAGCATCTAAAAGAGAACACTTGAGTGAAATGATGTTTGAAACCATTTAAAAAAACAATTTAAAACAGAAATGTTGCCTCAAGGGGTTCAGACTCAAACAGTTTCATTACAAAGAGGAGCAGTTTGGTTTCTGTGCCGAGTTTAATTTTGGACATCCAAAGCAGAAAGTTCATTTTAAATAGCTGCTTAATAAGTTAAACAGGTTAAATGGAAGTACGGTATTTTGAGCTGCAAAGGGAGCCATTGTTGTTGTACGGCTGAGGAAAAGAACCCGCCCATTTCAGATAATCAAACGAGTTTCAAAATCACTTAGTGATCTTCTGATTAATATCAGAGGGGAAAAAAAGACTTTCAAACCATCAATATCCTGTGGAAAAAAAATAAAAAATTCTCCCTAACCTGAAGCTCTTTGTAGACAATGTCCATCAATAATTTGCAATGATTGGCAGTCTTTCTTTTGTGAAGAAATTGCAGACCACTCTTTGCTGTCAAATTATTTTTATTCAGCCAGAAGGATGGCCTTTGTCTGTTATGTGTTTGTTTTCTTCCAAAATGCTCTTTTTCTGACTTGTAAAAGTTTTTTTTTCTCTTTTGTCTTGTAGTAGATCGAGCTTTATCTCAGGATAGCTTCCCACTTTTGGTGTTAATAGATATATTTCTCATCTGATGTTGCATTTGGATAAATCAGGGCATCACATGTTGCTTTTTGGGATGGTTTGTCACTTCATGCTTCAAACAGACGGGTTTGGTTTAACTGATTTTTTGATTGCAGCTTTTATAGTAATCAGACCACAGTTAGGCCAGTGAAACTGAACCAATGAAACGTGGTAAATCATACTTTCAAAGAGATGCGGATATATTGTTATGTAGGAAAAGTATTTTTTCTTTAAATAAGCATCATCATAAAATGGAAATTTTCTGCATGCACTGAGGGTATTTCAAATGCTTATGAGGCAAATAAAAAAGCTAAAATAGAAGAAATCTGTAACAAAGCAAGAACTTTTCACAGCACTATACATTCAGTAAAGTCTACCTTAAGAGGTCTCACTCTGGCCTTTCTGCCCTCCCTTTCCTACTTTCCTCTGACACTCTGTCACACTCTCCATCTCAGCGGGACTCTTAGGAAGATTGGTTACCTCTGTCTCCCTCTCGCCTTCCCTGAGACGCAATCTCCCCTCGATTTTGTCCTCCCTTTTTCCGCCTTGCCTCCGTCTTCTCTCAGCGGGACCCTTGAAGGGATCTGCCCTGAATCCTGAATGACTTCTCTGCAAATTTAATGAAAGAAAAGCTGAACCGAAAAAAATATATATTCTAAGCTGACATTGACAAGAGGAAGGAGAGCAGGAGTGGAGATGTTGAAAGGCAGAAAGATGGATTGGAGTCAGGAAAAGCCAAAGAGGGTAGAAAGATAAGCCCTGTCTGCCTGAAAGCAAAGTTCTGTCTGTGTTAATTTTACTTTTCTTCTGTTTGTTTCGCAGCTTCAACAATTCAGCAGCGTGACAAAACCAAGCCGAAAGCTAAAGGGCAAGAGGACTTGAGAAAACAATTAGAGGAATGCTGACCTGCATAAACAAACTCAGCTTAACATTTTTTTCCCCCCTCCCGATTAAATCACAACAACGAGGCAATTTCAAGAAAAGACACTCCTGTAAACAAGCAGTGTTTTGGTCTTTATAAGAGCAAAACAGACACGTTCCAACAGCATCCGTACAGAGGGACAGAACAGCGCAAGTTTGGACAGATTCGTCACATAGAGCTGAGCCTCGGGGTAACTATCTCATCTGGGATCTACAGGAAGAATGAGGAGCATGTGAAGTTCATTGTCAAGTCACTGGAAATCTTTGTGCTGATGGCTGATGAACTCACTTGTGCTCAGAGAGTTAAATGAGTTATCAATCAGCTTTTAAAGTTGAAGTCACTCACTCGGATGAACAGCGCAAGTCGGTTATTTCTGGTGTGCCGGCAGCATTTCCTTTTCATCGCAATATAGACCTCTAGTCTCCCTAAAGCTTATTAAAACGTTTCTGGGAGTCCAACTCAAGCAACTGAGCTCTGCAGGCCAAACGTTATGGAAGGGAAGTTTCATAGTGCTCAGGATTTTTTCAGCTGGCTGTGGACCTTTGCTGTGGACAAACACAACCAGGGGTCTACAACACCGTCTGCCTGGTCGTCCTGCTGACGCTTCCTCTGCTCGTCTTCCTCACCACTGTGGTGGTGTGCTGCCACTGCTGCTGCTGTTGCCCTGATAGGTGCTGCTGCTGCTGCCCTGATAGCAGCTGCTGCTGCTGCTGCTTTACAGGCTCTTTGAGGATGAAAAACAGTTCATCCAACAGCGAGGACTTGTGGATATCCGTGAGGACTGAACCGATGACTCCTGATGGGGTCGCTATAGGAGGTAGCGACTTTGTTTTGAGCATTTCCAGTATCCAGAATTAACGCACTGGTGCCGATCAGTCATTGAAAAGATGCAAAACTGGATGTGGATATCGTTCAAATAAAAAGAACTTTGTATTGTCGTGGGCATAGACATGGCTGAGACAAGTTTGTTTTTGTATATAAATACTTGTCACTTTGTATTCACATGATGCTGTGTGTTCTGGTTTTATGACAGTGTTTACAACATTTTTATGAGCTTTTTTAGTGTGTGGTACATAAAGACGAAATATGCAGACTCAAATATATCTATATATATATATATATATATATATATATATATATATATATATATATATATAGATATATATATAGATATATATATATATATATAAATGCAAGTGTGTGCGATGTGTGTGTCAGGTAGAGAGGCCTAGAGTTATTGGGAGAACTTTGTTCTTAGAGCTCCCATGTGAAATTCAATGCATCCATATTTGGGAGAGGGAGCAAAGGAAATGTTTGCTCACTGCTCAAACAGCTGTACTGGCACCTATTTTCCAGAGAGCAGACTGAAAAACAGCAGTGATATTCAGCCTTTATTTTATTTTATTTTTTAAAAACAATTATTGTTCAATCAAAGATATGTTTGTCCAGAGATTGGAATCATGGACAGGGTTCTCACATTAACGGAAGATGAAGAATAGAGGCAGTTTGTTAAGCAGTCACAAGAAAACAAATTGAAATCATTTGTTTTTAGAAACTCAGCAGTGTGTGTATCGTGGCTCGTTTTGGATTTGAAGCACCGGGAAAATAAAATGTCATTTCAAGATATAGAAAAATAATTATTCACCGGCTTGGTTTTTGATTGACGTGTGTTTCAGTGCACTGCAACTTAACAATAGTGAATGCAAGCCACTACTTCAGTGCAAAAGTAAATATGTTTTGTGAGTTTGATGCCAGATTCAGGGCAGATCAAACAGTTGCTCTTGGATAGAAAACCTTACAGAAGGACTTTGGAATTTAGACAGAAGGTGATAGAAATAATAAAAAAAAAAAAAGCTATTCAGCTACTAGACATTATTACCACACCTGTGTGTACAAGTTATGTATGGACAATTAGAATCTAGTTTTATGAAAATTGCTAAGCAATATTTTGTTTTACTATTTTCTGAGTTCTCTCAACTGTTGTGTGTCTATATATAAATATGGTACACAAGTGTTTACACTTGTTTACATGTAAAGTAAACAAGTTTGATGAGCAGTTAGTTTTGTTGCATATCTGAAATACAAAAAATTGAAACTTTATTGAAATTGTATCCGATTTCACCACATTTTCTATTAATTTTAGCAACTTCCTCAAAGTTGCTAAGCAGACGTCTGTCTGCAGCGTCATCATCTTTATTCATTAGCTTACTCCGAGTTGGAGGCCAGCTCCTCTCATTACAGCTCAGACAGACAATATCCCATGTGGCGAGCAGAGATGTCTCTCCTGCTTAATTTTTGCTGTATACATAAATCCTGTAAAACAAATAAATAAATTAAAGCCTCAGTACGAATGTTTAATGTCCAGTGAAAATCAGTGCATCAGAAGGCATCTGCAGTTTGTGTTTGTCAGAGAAAATGTCTTTGAAGTTTGCAGAGTCAGTTTGCATTATTTGCATCCTTAACTGTGGAAGACTTTTTGAGGCAGATTTGTGACAATCACAGACAAGCTGTTCTATTTCCTGCCTTAGTGTAGATATGAAAATGTCTTTTTGCCATCTTTTCTATTTGCACACGGCTTATTTCACTTCAGCATTCAGTTATAGGCAATAACAAAGCCAAAGGCTATACATGTTTGTGCCAAGTTATTCAAAGAATAGCAATCATTTCAATAATTTTATTTGTTATACATATTCCATTTAAATCGCAACTTATCAAGTTTCTGTATTTTTAAAGTCACTGAAATAAATGTCTTATTAAGTTTCCAGGTTAATTTTGCATCACCTACAAATAACAATGAGGGAAATGACATAAAATGAACCACCATTAAATTTTCTTTTCTATTTCACTTGATCAGACAAAATAGACCTATAAAGATGTTTTTATTATCTGCTAAAAATGGCCATTAAGTTTTCTGAGGGCCAATGAGTTTTGACGTTTTCAGCTAGTCTAAACATGCAAGACATTTTTTTTGTTTGTTTATTTGTTTAAAAAACGCTGACTTTATTGGTTTTCTTTTAATTATACACTTGGCTAGATTTTATTGTTGTTCTGAATCCATAATTTATTGAGGCTTGCACAACGATCCAGCACGAAGAGGAAGCAGGCAGGGAGAAATATTATAATTTTCTCACTTTCTGTTCAACCTTGAGGAGCGGGATATTAAAGTTTGAACACAAAGCAATTTCGGTTGTGTCTACACTGATATCTTCATACTGACAGCTTAGACAATATTAAGAAAAAAAAATACATTTATCCGTGTATGTCATGGAAAGTAAAACTCAAGATCATTTTTACCAAGTGTCATCATGAATCGCCAAAAGTGAAAAATTTCTTTCTTACAGGATTTTGCTGCTTCATACTGTTGTCGTTATTAAAATTAGTTGTTTTTTTATTATTATTATTATTTTATTGACCCGCTTGGGTCAATAAATGATCCCAATATACGTTGTATACTGGATAAGATGATGTCAATGTCAACTTAGGTTCCTTTGTCCTTTCATCATTTTCTGTTCACCCTCATCCCTATGGGGTCGGGAGGTGCAGGTGCCTATATCCAGCTATGTTCTGGGCGAGAACATCTCCAGCCAACACAGAAACAGACAAGACAAACAACCATGCACACACACACACTCACACCTAGGGAGAATTTAGAGAGACCAATTTACCTAACAGTCATGTTTTTGGACTGTGGGAGGAAGCCGGAGTACCTGGAGAGAACTCACGTATGCAGGAGAACATGCAAACTCAGTGCAGAAAGACCCCGGGCCAGGAATCGAACCCAGAACCTTCTTGCTGCAAGGAAACAGTGCTACCAACTGCGCCACTGTGCAGTCGCTTTCATCCTTTTAGTAATAATAATAAAAAAAAAACTTCAGTCAGGTTGATTTTATAGCTTCGTCCACAAAGTTCTTTGAAAATCAACATTTCAAATTAAGTATAGTTTCATTAGAGGTTTATATTAGAAGAACAGGCAATAAGCAGCAAATAGTTTATGCAATTTCATTTTTTTTTTTACATATTTGTTAAAGCTGCCAGCATGTTGTGACAGGAGACAGATAATCCATGACCAGATGAATCTCCTCCACATCCTCCCTGAGCTGCTAATCCTGTCTGAAGAAATGCACCGACCCAAACAAAAGCAACCAGAGACAAGAGGAGGGTCTTAGCGCTGTCATTCATCCTCATGCACTAGTTGCTCAATGTACTAATGGGGGAGAAACTTCTTACCGTTCCAGAAAAAAACTGTTCTGCCATCATTTGGGGCCATCCTAACTAGCCTGAACTTTCACAACAGGCTCTGCTGGTTGAAGCTTAGCAGAGAGCAAGTGGAGGAAGGGGAGAAAAGACCAGCATTAAGTGGAGGTTGATTGACAATGCTAAGTCCCGCCTCCTGGTTCTGATTGGTTGTTTCAGGGGAGCACTGGGAAAAGGAAGAGGAGTGTGATGTTTTTCACAGATTATCTATTTTGTACCTTATTTTTATCACATAGTGACAGTTTCAACAAATATGTAAAAATAAATAAATATTATTTTTATGTTTTTTTTTTTTTTTTTTCCAACGTTACAAATTGTAGCTTAAGCCCAAACAAGAAAAAATCTACATGGTCAAACAAAATTACAAATATTATTTTGTATTAAAAGCGTAAGTCTCTGCACAATTTCCAGCAAAGAGTAACTAAATCAGGTGCTTCAGCGCTAAATGACATCAAATCTCAGAATTGAGCTGGATTAATTTTCAGTTTGTTTTACGCAAACCTTAGATAGACTTGTTTCGAGATTACTGGTGTCTTCATCAGATAAAAAAAGCAAACACAGCAATAAGCCAAAGGGAAACAACCTAAAGCAAGTAACAAAAATCATTGGAGACATGATAAGGTCACATTACAGACCAAATAAGACCCAATCAGGGTGGGGCTCATCACAGTGCATTTCTGAACAGCCAGACGGCAGATCATCCAAAGAGGTGCCGTTGCTTACTATGCCTGGATGATTCTGTGAAATTGGGGTCAAACAGATCTCTTGCTGAGGCACAGTTGACTTATAATCTAAACTCTACATAAAATGCTTAATGAAATTTAACGAGTTAATCAGAAACCTCTCTCTTCTGTGGTTCTTTTTTTTTTTCTCCACACCACAGAGCACATTTTTAACACTCCCTTGTTTCCTAACCAAGGTCTTGCAAAACACGTCAAAGTGAACCTTGAGGGAAGTGTTGACCTGAATGGCACAGGGGGACAAATGGCTTATGTATGTCAGCAAACTCATATTGTCCTCTGTATATATTTAGACACACAGAAATAGGGAAGAAGAGAAGAGGAAATCGACCAGCTCTTCCCACTTTCTGTTTGTTCTTGCACTGAGCAAAGCTCTTGCCTCTTAAAGCAATGGTAGAAACCAATCTCCTTAAAGTAATTTGCTGCCACTGTCTCAGACGGCCACTTGCATCACTGAGCCCTTGTGAGACATTTCATTCCCAAGCTGAAATAAAATACAACGGCAGAAACGGTTGTCACATTTTATGCATCCGCCTTCTCAGAGTCTGATGGATTCTGATGAGTAAACCGTAAACAACATTATCCTTTCACATTCTTCTTTGGCTATTGTTTTTGGAACAACGCTGCAAAACTCCTGTCTTGTTTGATCAAGTCATATCTTTTGTCTAAATCTTTTTGTCTTTAAGTGATTTGGTGTGCTTCTTGTATCCTTTAGCGATGTAAAGTGGTTCTTGCTAAGACAGCCAATGCAATACGGTGAATTGAGAAATAGTTTCGAGACCAGACGGTGAACAGTCATCAGTTCCAGCAAGGGCAGTTACTTAACTCCTCTATGATGAAAGTGCTCTGTACTTTGGAAATTGTGGTTCTATTTTTAAAGGCAATCGACTAAAACGTGGTCTACACAATTACGCAATTTAGAAGATCAAACTGCATTTAAAACAAGTGTGAACCTTGAAACTTTGTGCTTATGACCAGTATCCATGTTGGAGCTTTGGTGCCCTTGACAAGATGATGGTCTAACCCCCTGAGAATGAAGGTGTAGCCAGTTTATTGGCACAGTAAAAATATACTTTTAGAGCAACCATGTATCAACCGGTGTGCTCAATATTTCTTCAGTGAACCTGTTCAGGACAGTTGATTGTAAATAAGATTTACCTGTTTGCTGAATGCAGCCAACCGACAACTGGATGTGTTTAACTTGGCCAGTTATTTAATTGAGAATGTGGATAAAGCCGAGTGGATTGCATTTCTATAGTTAGACAGCAGTTACAGTTGTGATCCTTGGCATAAAAAAACATCAGAGCTGCAATATGTTACATCTGATGAGCACAGATAAGCTGAGTAACCAGGAGACGTTCAAACCAAGCGACAGTTAGAGTACCTTTGTCCTGCACCAGCAATAAATACCAGGTCCAATATTTAATATAGAAATATTTATGTCAACTACATTCAGAAAAATTTTATGATAAATGGAGCTAAAATAATGTTCTTTACCTTTTTATTCAAAATTTTCCTACCCTATTCTGTTAACACTAGGAATGAGCTTTATCTTGAGCTTCATCTTGTGAAGTGTGAAATATCTTGGCCATGAAGAATTGTTATAGTTTTTATTTTGCCGAATGTGCTTCGTCGGGGAAATGGTTCTGACTTTGGTTGTATTCGAGATGGAAAAGAGGTGAGCTCCCCATGAGCGCCATATGTAGAAAAGCTAATGCTGCGCAAAGTTCAGAGAAAATCTTGACCAATCATTTATGTAAGCCTAAAACCACGACACTCCACCAAAAGGCAGATGCACCCAAATCTTTCCGAGAGTTTGGATTTGTCCCACAGCAAAATAAAATAATGACAAATGAATCTATCTCCGATTTAAAACACACACACACACAGACCACACGGGATAAAAAGTGAAAAATGAATAAAAGCTGTGTTAAATAGTTTCTTCTAGAACAACTCCTGAGCCTTTGCCCACATCCAAGCCTTACAGAGGAGCTGCAACTACACAATGCAACATAAGCCTGAAATGAGATTGAGAAAAAGGCAAGGAACTCGTTAAGAAAGATTTATTTTGTGACACTACAGTGAAAAAGCATTATAATGTCAGTTTGAAAACATGATTAGTAAAGAAGACATTAATCTGGATCTGATTTGAAAATGTTCAGCGATTCTAATCAGTTACAAAATTTTAAAATGAAAAACTTTGCAGCATCAAAAAATGCATAAAGTTCAGCAACTTCAAATCCATTCTGGCAGGAGGGTTTTTCAAGATGGCGGCTTGAAGGACGGTCGGGGCCGAGGGGTGCTGGCGCTTATTCTACTTATTTCTCCAGTTTATACCCTGCAAGCAGCG